TGACAGAAAACGTGACCTATTGTGACAAACACGTATCATCATAGAAGTGTATTTTTTTGTAGTGATAGTCTCATCTCTAGCCTCTATTCTAGCAACGAGTGCACGAGCATCTAACAAATTCCATGGTATCAATAGATCAACGTAATCTTCTTCCCAATATCAATACTTGCATTCATCCACACAAATTTGAGCAAACAATGAGCTACCGGAATTGCGCCGAATCTGGTGAACAACCAAATCCAAAGAAGTACATACCCCATCTTTTTTACACTTGAATAACACCCATCCAGGATGTTCCGGTGTGGTGGAAACTCGGCGCACCACCTGCCACAGGCAGTCGCCGCACCCCGGGCGACGGCCGAGCGTTTCTCTGCTGGTGAACCATCGACGGTAGAGATCCGAGCGGCTAGAGGCCGATTCAATACTTGCATGTGGTGTGGAGGCATTGTCGGGGCTGTATGGTCTCATACTCAGCCAATTCATAGCAAAGGCGCACCGGGCAGCCAGGTGCGTCAAATCTGGCGGCGACGGCGGCAGCCTCAGATTTATTGGTTGTGCGTGAGCGACGGGGCAGGAGAGGCCCAAATCCGGGCGGTCAAGGACAACAGCGGAGCCTACAGGTGTGCGCGGTGGCGAGCGGTGGCCGACGGGGGTTGGGCACGACGGCACCGGCGTAGATGCGGCACGGGAGCACGGCGGGGGAGACAACAGAGTGGAGGAGAGTTTTTCCTCCAAGCCCGAGCGCCGAGTAAAACTAGGGACGGCGGAGGCGAGTGAGGATAATAATTTATCCCCGCCATCAGCTATTGGGGATCGGTTAGGTGCGGTTAGAAGAGTAAAACCGAATGTTTACTCCTCTAACTAGTTATAGGGGGTCAGTTAAAGTTGCCCTTAGAAATTAAAAAAATCATCAAAACAAGTCGAATATATATGACATTCAACACATATGAGTGCAACTAAAGCCAACAGTTTGGCATTGCATGTGAACGCTGATACACAGAATTAGGGCAACCTATTTATACGAGTCTAATGTCTACATTCTCACGGCTACAAATTTCACAAACAATTTTCCAAAAAAAATGTCTGACGGAGTAAAATGAGCCTCCAACGGTCAAGGCTGAAATCCCGAGGACGTAAGCGACGCCCCAGAACGGGAAGGGTCGGATTCCTTGTTAAGGCGAAATAGAGACACACCACCCACTCGACCGCGAACATGGCGCTACTCACGAGGCCCACCAAGCCTAAGACTTTGCGCTGGAAACGGCGGATAGACTCCTCGTCAGGCTCCGCCGTCGCAAGGAGGCCCTCGTCGATAGCGTTCTCGAGGTCGGCCATTATCTGCTTTCCTCGATCTCCTTGGTTCTCTCTTTTTTCCTTGTCGATGTATCAATCTGTTGCCTTTTCTCTTGAATAAAAGGTATCGATCAGTTGGATGCCCTTCGTAGCTCGCTTGGAGAGCTGCAGCTCGACTCCTCCTGCATATATATTGTGCAGGTAAAGAGGGTTAGACTTGACCGACATCTGGAGGGTTAGAGAATCCGGACCTTGTTTGATTTCAGAAAAGACACGACGGGAGGCTGAGACGGGCCGGGACAGGATACTAAATCGTGTCAAACAATGAACAAAACAAAAGACGAAACAGGCTGCCACGGGCCTCAGCTGCAACCTGCACACATCGTGATGCTATTTATTAATCCAATGGCTGTGATAGCTGAGTTTTAGCAAAACCGCCCAAACGGGCAACCAACAAACTCTGTTCGCATTTCAAAAAAAAAAACTCTGTTCGACCACTATAATGGCGGCCGCCGCCACAGCCACCGCCGCCGCC